TTACCAACAGGTTTGTTGGTCTAGAGAATAGGCTCTCAGCATGCACAAGGTCCTGGGCTTAACTCCCCAGGATGCTCTGACAGCCAATGTGAAAGTTATCTGGATCCAGTGTCAAGGTGAGCTAGTTGAAGGTCCAAATGAGTGAATTCCTCTAGACCAGTGGTTTTTGATCTTTGGTCCACAGACCTCTGGGGTCCGCAGACTGTGTCTAAGATAGCCAAAGGGATCCACACCTCCATTTGAAAATTTTTTAGGGGTCCACAAATGAAAAAAGGTTGAAAACCACTGCCCTAAACCCTCCCAAGGCCAAGTGACAAGGGACTTTTGGTGCTCAACTTAACGCATCTTAAAGGGCCCCAATTTTCAGAAAGTGCTGAGCAGCTACATTCTGCCAATCAGCCCCCTTTAAAGTGTCTCAAGACAAACAAAAAAAAATGCTAGTCGCTTTTGAATGTCTTCATGTTTTTGAAGCAAAATAAGAATATTCCCCCCACACACAAACACCCCATTGTGTCTTTTAATCTCTTTATTTTCCTTTTAATTAGAAAAGAAAATGTGGAGTGTGAGGAGGGAAATAACTCTCCATTTATTTAACTTGCTAACCACTCTACCTACAGTAATAGCCACAGTATTTATAACCCTAATAATTCAGATGCTAAACTCTCCGAGTTTGGTGCAGCTGTGGACAGAATAACATCTGCTTTAAAAATACCTCTTGCTCTGTAACTTGTCATGGCATTTGTTGACAACCCTATTGAAAGCAGCTCTCAATGTGACTGTGAAGGATCTTTCAGTACCTCTTTCTCTTTCCCAGACAGTTTTTGAAAGGGAGGTGGCGAGGGGGACCCATCAATACAGGGGGAAAAAAGCATCAGCAGCCAGCATCGGCTGATGAGGCTCCTCACCTGGGCCCCCAGCGCACCGCCTCCAATTAAATCAAAATGGTTTGTTTTTAATGGTCTTTTACACTGACAAGTGGGCTATCATTCCAGGCCCAGATAGCTGTCAGGGAGCAGAGGCAAATCCTCCGTTGATAATGCCCAATGCTTCCAATTAGGAACCGAGGCCGCTCCTGGCGCGTTAACGATTCCCCAGCCTCCCCCTAGGCCCCTTCGGCGCTGACTGTTTCGTCTTCACTCCTCCTCCGCCGCAAATTACTGACACAAAACGGAGGCGCCCCCGGCGTCTCCTCACCACGCCAGGCCCGGGCCCTGTTGGGTTTAATGAGGCGATGGAAGTTTTTGCGGCTCTTTCGCTAAATTCTTTTCTTGTTTGACAGCTGCTCGACTGTTGACCTTATAAAAGATTTAGTGTTTCTCATTATTTTCTGTCAAGCTTCACAATTGATGGCTTCACAGAAATCATTTGCATCCATATATGTGTGTGTGTATGGGGATATTGTATATATAGGTGAGAGTGCACGTGTGTACTTGTCTCCCATATTGTGTGCTATTTTCCGCTGGAAAGAAATCTACAAATATGACAGTTATTTTGTGTTGATTTTTTTTTTAAGAAAACTTAAAAGGGCCTTCCTTTGTTAGGATCCTGTAAATGAGCGATGCTTTGGAAAGGGAGTAAAGATTGTTTTCCTGTGATGGAAGCTTAAGAAAGGGTTTTGTCACCTGCTAAAGGGATTAAATCAAGTGGGTGATGGGGAAACAAGGGGGAGTCTGGGGGCATCCTTTTTGTTAACATGAAGAGTCATACAGGGATTGGATCCTACCTCCCCATACGTGTGTAGTTTGGGGTAGAGCTCACAAAAGGAACAGGCAACTGGATGCAGGTCCTTTCATTAGGCAAGAAAAGCCATGACCCCATTCATTCCCCACCTAGCATCCCTTAACAGGTTCATCCTCAAAAGCAAATCTTTCAAATAATTTAATCCAGTTATGTCAATCAACTATTCTGCCACTCTTCCATGGAGCCCTGTTCATTAATAAATACTACTAATCACTTTATACATTCAAAGGGCTAAAGTGGTAATATAAATGTAGATTTCTAGTAAAACATTTCTAACAAATTTAGTTCCTATATACTTGGAGCAAAATAAAAGTCTCAGGGGCAGATCCTCAGCATCACTCTGGAGCTCTGCCAGTTTTCACCAGCTGAGGATCAGGCCCTCAGTGTTTATTGTCTTTTGTACTATTTATCCATCCTCCATTAAAACGATAGATCAGACTTTACTTGCAACGACTTTTGCACAACAATGCTAATGCTCAGTAGGTGACTCTTTATATTTTTCTTCCTTCTCAGCTAAAAGGACTTTGTGTAATTGAGAAATGTATGTGGAAGTAACCCACAAATATGCATCTCTAATTTTTCATAATAAGGGTTTTCCCCTGTAATTCCTGGATGTGAGCTCAGATGTTAAATACAATCCACCTGCAAAAGGCTTGTATAGATTCTTGGTGTGATCTGACATTAAAATATGGTTTCAGTTAAAAGTTGCTTTTAATGAGCTGAGTTGAAAGTAATTACAACTATAAAACCCTACAACATAGGGCATTTAAAAAAGCACTTTGTACATTAGCACCCGCTCACACGATTTGTTTCAATTTGTGTATCAGATGTGAGACTTCAGTATTGCAGTTCAAACACCATCAGAATAATGGTTTAGATTATCAGAGTTCTCTAGAGAAAATGTTATTTGGTCCATCACTTAAAATGAGAATTAGAAGTGGAACAGCCAGAGATTAGGATTCACCAGTTTAGCATTGACTTCTTGTACCAACCTCTGTCATATCATGACCTCTGACATAAAGCCATCCCGGTCTTGACTATAATTACTGTCCTGGGACTAATCCATACTTCTCAAATGACCCTTGTTATCAGAGGACTTCTCATTTTTTAAAGCAAAATTTGCCCCTAACTTACACCTGGTGCTTCCCACTTATTCATACCGAGGTCAGAAGCCTTAGGCTGTTCATAGGTTTGTGGAGGGCTCTAACTGGTCGTATTGTCCATTGTTCCTACATTTGGGTGTTAGTAGGGTGGAATCTCAGTGCAAAGTTCCCAGGTGAGGTAGTGAATAAGCAGCCAGCCTCTGTCATTAGGGCCTCAAACGCAACCAGGAGTTTATGTGTTATAGGTCTGGAGGGTTAGTTCCAGGTCCACCTAACTGCAGCGTGTTCAGATGCTCTGGAAGCTGCTAAGCTTAAACTATTACCCCTGTGAAAAGTAGCCCTCCAAATTTAGGGTGTCAGCCTGTGCCAGGAAGTTAATGTAGGAATTTTGACTCTAGGACTAGTCTCATTCAACCATAATCAGCATTTACCCTGGATAACACTAATAGAATGCATCCACTTGTACTGTAGTTTATACACAAGACACCAGAATACTGCTGTTAACTTGTAGGAGATCCTTACAAACCTAGTAACAATTCTGCTTAAATAACATTTTATTTCTCTTCTGTCATCTTTATATTTATGAACAAAAGACCCTGCATGAAAAGAGGGATTTTTTCCCCCGCGATGCATTCCCCTGCTCCTGTGTTCTGCTCGTGGTAGTCATTCTCACAGCATGCAATGCCAACGTAACAAATGATATCATGACTTCAGTTAGGGAATAAAGAGTTGGAATGGAGGAAGTTGAGTCAGGAGTTTGAGCTTCTGGACTTGAAGTGGGGTGGGAGAGAAATACAACAAATATTTATATATAAACTAGAATTGTTGCAAAATGTAGCACTTCCGTCCAGTTTCACACAGTCTAATGGAAAAATTAATACCATTGTATGTGAAATAACAAGTATATTAAAGTGATGCCATTTGTCCCTAAAGTATTTGAGTGGAATTTTCAAAAGCACACAGTTTCAATTCTACCTGGTTCAATTCTACTTCAGTTCAAATCAGTGGTAAAACTCTCATGGTTTTCAAAAGTAGAGTTAGCCCAACAATAAACACGTTTGAGAATCCCAAGCTCTGACTCTTAAAAGACACTGAAAAAATGATCAAATATTTTAAGAGAAAACACATTAGCTTCTGGGATCTCTCTCTCATACCCATTTTCTTCTCATAGAGAGATTTATCATGTTACAACTGTGATGTTGAGACACTTATTATAGCCAGAGTTTTCAAATGTGAGTGTCTACAGTTAAGCACTTAAATCCATATGAAAGCACTTAAATGCCATATTTTCAGAGTTGCTGATAATCTAAACGCACCCTTTGACTGCCTTAGTCTCTGCCCAGAAGAATTTACAATCTAAATAGGCAATCTCATACACACACATACATGCATAGATATTGTATATATTTGCTGTGTATGTATATGTATACACACACACACCCCACCACTCTAAAAAAAAAGTCATGGGAACTAATATGATGTCTGCCAACTATCACTCTGATCACTCTTCTAATATGTTCCATCCCTTTCCCCCACTCTATGTCTTCTTGTCCATTTAAACTGTAAGCTCTTCATGGCAACAGCTGTCTCTTAAGTATGTTTGCACAGCACCTACCACAAGGAGGCCCTGATCCTGACTGGGTTTTCTAGGTGCTACCAAAACAACAATATTTCCTCATGTCTTCAGTGTGAGGAGTGGAATGCATTCCACACCTCTGACAATGAGCCCACTTATGCAGGTGCCAAGCTCTAGCCATGGACATTTGAAAATGTCAGTTTAAATGAGTGATTTGTTGTAATGAGGTTATAGGACTTGTTTCTGGAATGTTAACAAGATTATCTCCATGATTAAATACTCATCAGCCAACCAGAGAGTTAGTCTTAATTTTAAAATTGTTAATTGACTTTCTTAAGAGTAATAACAATGAGGAGTCTGGTGGCACCTTAAAGACTAACAGATTTATTTGGGCATAAGCTTTTGTGGGTAAAAACCCCACTTCTTCAGATGCAACTTTCTTTAGAGTGTGGAATAATGTTCTGAAAAAGACTGAAGCCGATGAGCTAAACTGTAATCTGTTTTCAATTCATATTACAAATTTCTTCTCTTTGAATTTCTGCTCGCTGTAACCAATCATATATCTGCTTCTTTCATTATAGGTTGGTCCTCATCTCAGTACCTTTCCAGACCGTGACGCTCATAAAAAGGCGTTCAGTGTCTACCACTCAGAAATGCCTGTGAGATGTGGTCCCCTTGCCCAGGGCATATATACAGCCGCCTGAAAGCTCCACAGAAGTCATTTACTGAACAATGTAATATGTTAGAATACTAAGTTAGCAATATAAGATAGATTTTTATTCTAGTGTACAATTATTTTTTCAAGTTTAGAAAGGCTACATTCATGTTGTAACTGAATAAATCAGCACATTTACCAGTTTCTGGCTTGCCATATACATTTCTTCACTAGGAGCATATGCAAGCATTTTAACCAATCTTATCATATCAAATAAGAACTGCCATACTGGGTCAGACCAAAGGTCCATCTAGCCCAGTGTCCTGTCTTCAGACAGAGGCCAGTGCCAGGTGCCCCAGAGGGAATGAACAGAACAGGTAACAGGTAATCATCAAGTGATCCATCCCCTGTCGCCCATTCCCAGCTTCTGGCAAACAGGAAAAAATCCATTACTGTGGTCAGGTTAATAATGCTACAGTGCATTTCTCCCTTGGATTCAAAATGGTAGCACAAAGCCACCCTTACTAGCTTGATTACATAGCATGACTACACTGAAGATAGCTCTTCTTTCTTCCATAGTACATTAGACGGGAGTAACAGTCCCTAGTTCCCTGACTTATATCTTATCATTTATATAATATTTTTCAACATGTTCCAATTGATAAATAAGTCCTCCAGTAGGCCCACCCTCAGAAAAGCATCTAATGATGTATTTAACTTCAATTGGACTTTAAGTATGTGCTTAAATACTTTACTGAATTAGGGCCTTAGTGCAAAGTAACTCTTTACTTGAAGCCAGACAATGATGATGACATTTGTACTTGATTAACTCTTGGCTCCTTGTAGCAATCAGGCCTGTCCATTTTCCACAGGGCTACCAAATGAATTTACAAGCTCAACCAACTTCAGTACAAGTAATGACAATTATTATTATTTCCTATAAATATTACAGTAACGCACTTATATGCCCCTTTGTGCTAGACACCGTACAAACACATATGAAGACCCAGACCTGCCTCTAAAGAGCAGCATTTACACTGGCAAGTTTAAAAAGGCCACTCCCAGCGGGATTTATTTTGGGGGAGGGATAGCTCAGTGGTTTGAGCATTGGCCTGCTAAACCCAGGGTTGTGAGTTCAATCCTTGAGGGGGCCATTTAGGGATCTGGGACAAAAATGGGAGATTGGTCCTGCTTTGAGCAGGGAGTTGGACTAGATGACCTCCTGAGGTCCCTTCCAACCCTGATATTCTATGATTCTATGACCTTAAGAAATTGCCTCTGAATAATGGGTCTGATCACTTTAATTGCTTTTCTGAAAAACTGTTTGCTGAATAATGAATTACTCCTGTGTTTTCTGCTTTTCAGCTCTATTAACATGTCTCATGTTGTACCAGATATATTTAAATACAATGTTTTAAACATCTGTTTGCATCATTCCTTTCTCATTGAGTGGCCATATCAAGCTAAGTCCTTACACAGCCCTTAGCATTGCAGTTCCTTAGCACCTCACAATCATTCAAGGGTTTTATCCTCACAGCACCCAACCCCATGTACAATTCTAATAGAGAGTTGGGTGGGCTTGAAGCCAGCCAAGAGATCAAACTGATGGTTCCAGAACTGGTGCCCAGCACAGGACTTCCACTTAAGGATATCAGACTTTCCAGCCTGACCTTTGGCACCTATGCATAATGGGACAGAGTCCTGCATGAATAGTGAGATTGTTGATCTGGACACTGGGACAAACAAGCACTTTTCTTACCTTGGAGGGATGACTCCATTACACTGGCAGCTCCCTGGGGCGAGCTAGGCCTGGTGTGTTATGTCTGAGATTTCTAAGTGACCCTGCCCCTAGGGGAATCTGCTGCTTAACTACCCATTTATATAAGGGAGTGTCTGCCTCACTGCTCCACGCTGAGCACACCTGAGCCCAGCTAAGCCTGGTGAGAGAGAGATAAAAGGCCAGTTCCAGAGACAGGTGCTCTATATATTTCTCTTTGTCTAGTGTGGGTCTCTTACTAGAGCAGATACAAAGTAACTGGCAGGCTAATAGTAAGATGTGATGTGATGTGCTGAGAGAAGTTGGGTGTAACAAGAGACCTTTCCCATCACACTGGGGAGGAAGAAGGCTGGGCCTTAAATGTCTTGTTTTGCTAAAAAGTGACTTGGCTTATAACCTGAATCCTGGAGCCAAGCCACTATGCATCTAATAAACCATTTGCAACAAGTTCTCAACTATATACTATGATTAGGTTCATGCACAACCTGCCATTCAACAACAGGAAAACAACTTCCCTGGCCATGTAAAGTGACCTGTCAGCTCATTGTAAGGCTGGGTGAAAGGGGAAAGGACCATGATAATAACATCTCTCTCCCCAGAAGGGCTTCATTAGTACAGGGCTAAAAAAAACTTTCCGTGGGCCTAACGAATGCTGTTTGAGTGCTGTGGGCTTACAGAAAGTCAGTACAGTGAAAAGGAGACTAGAACTAAGCTCCATGGGTCTGATCCCACATGCTGAATGCCCTCAACTCCTATAGAAGTTAATAGGGTTTGGGCAATCACTACATCTTGCAAGGCTGTTCCATATGAAATTGTGAAAAGAAAGGGGTTTAGGTACCTCTCCATACTATACTATACTATGGGTCCCTGCTGGCTGGAATACTGAGGTTTTCCCAGTGGTGGGTGCCAGATGCCCAAGACGGAATATGAGAATGGTTGAGTCAAATAAAAGAGCGTTAAAGGGGACTGGCTGGTAATGGACTGTGGGGTGTTTTACCTCTAGATTGCCAGGCTGAATCCAAGGGCAAAAGTTGCTGCAATCTGGTGGCCTGCTCAGAAAGAAGTGGGTGCACCTCACTCCAGGTCCAACTGGACCCGCATCCACACCACTTCAGTTTGAACCAATTCCCACCCTAATGCCTTTATTGTCAGTCACTGCAGAGAGGCCAAGGACTGAATGGGCCATGGAGCCTGAACCCCATTCACATTGCAGGTTGGGGCACAATGGCAGGAGATGCTGACCTTGCTGCTGCCCATCTAGCACCAAGTTCACTCAGAAGAAGAAAATTAGGGTCCTCTCATCTGTACATCACAATGCAAAGTGCTGTGTCAGCTAGTTCTAAAAGCTGTTTTATGTATTGGTTAATTTGTTGCAAAGGGAACCTTGGTACTGCACAAAGCAGGGGGTGGGGGGGAACATAATATGCAGATGTCTCACCTAGTCATATGGTATTTCCAGGTCTGCATCCTGTTTTTCAGATCCGCTTTCTTCCCCCACCCCTTTCCCCAGCCCTTCTTTACAGGATGCTGCTTGTCCTGTAGTGACACCCACTGGTAACTCTAAGATTTTGATGCTCTTGCAAGGTTCCCCACAGCTGAGGCCTCTTTGCAAACACCTCCTAGTTAATGATTTCTGCAAAGCACAAAGCTGCAGGTTAACTCTGATTCCCCTTTACCATGTTATCATCTTCCCAGAACCCCCTGTCCCTCTCTTCCCTTCTATTTGTGCTCTGCGGGCCTTTCTACTAGTTAATAAGATCTTCATTTAGGTGTTAGAATATCGCAAGTACAGCACATCAACCCTGCTGCATTCCCTCATCTGCTGGAACTATATGCCCCTTGCAGTAAATGCAGAGTTTACATGTCATCATATAACTATGAATTTAGCCTAATAGAGTCTACTGGGATATTTTTATAGGTTAGCCTCTTAATAATTCCAGGTGTGGTTTAAAGACTTTTTTGTGGCAAGAGTTATACAAGAAATAGCTGCTAATTTTTAAAAAAAGGATCGCTTCCATTTATAACAGCACCCAGGCTGACCTGAAATCTCCTTGCCTTAAATATCTGCACGCATTCACCCGAACTGACTGAGATCATTTACAGTTCACAGCCCCTGCCCTGAGTTAGGGGCTCTCTTTGCCAGCTCACACCCACTCGGGAGCATGCAGGTCTGGTTCTACCACATAAACAGGACGGGCGGTCACCTACAGGGCAGTGAGAGCTAAATCCTCAGAAGTGATGAACTCTTACAACGCCCATGGGAGTTTTAGATGCCCTGTGCCTCTGAGGATGTGGCTCTAACAGGTGCGGAGGAGTCGGATTCGGAGGAAGGAATGGATGTTTGTCAATGGCACAGGGCATCAAAACCCCTAGCCGTGTCCCTGGGTGTGAGGCATGTGAGGACACTGCAGGAGGTACAGCGCAAACTCAGTGGGGTTTTGTGCTTGCACAGCCCACTCCTGGTGTTTTATGAACAGAAACGCCTCAGGAATATGGGTTTTAACGGCAGCTGCACTTGTGTTGTATAAAATCACTGGGCAACAAGCCTATCATAAGGACCAGATCCTGCAAAGGTCTGTGTGCCCCCAACTCCTGCTTCAGTCAATGGGAGCTGGAGGACACGCAGCACCCCACAGGATCAGGCCCTAAAATCTGTAATAAGGCACTCATTAACTAAAAGATTTAAGCCCAGATCCTCAAAGGTATCTCCCTGGGAGCTAGGCATCAAAATACCTTTAAGGGCCATAGTGCCTGGGGCTTGGTAATAGAACACACAGACTTTCGTTTCTTGATCAGTAGTCCACCGCCGTCCCAGATGAGCAGTGTCCCAAAGTTGTTGACAGCTGCTGGCTTCATGGTGGCATGCTGTGAAAGGAGTTGATGGGGCTCGTTCCACTTGCTCCTGGACAAGAGTGCACATCACAAAAGAAACCTGCACATTTGACACTGAAGACCCAGCCTTGCACACTATATGCAGACAAAACTCCTGATGCAATCAGTGAGCATCTGGTGTGTGCAAGGACTGCAATATTGACCTCCTGACATTATTAACAGAAAGACCAATGAGCAAATGGGCCATGGAAACCGAACTACTTGACTTCCTTGCCCCTAGAATGGGGCCCTTTGCTCAGGTTTGAGATAGGTTTTAAGTGCCTGGAAGATAATAGGGTGATAAGGAATAGCCAGCATGGAATTGTCAAGAACAAATCATGCCAAACCAACCTAATTTCCTTTTTGAAAAAATTACTGGCCATATCCATGATAGGGAGGAAGCTATAAAGATGTTATAGCTTGATTTTAGTAAGGCTTTGACGCAGTCCCACATGACAGTCTCATAAGCAAACTAGGGAAATGTGGTCTAGATTAAATTAATATAAGGTGGGTGCACAACTGGTTGAAAGACCAAACTGCAAGCATAGTTGTCAGTGGTTTGCTGTCAAACTGGGAGGACAGATCAAGAGGATCCCCCAGAGGTGAGTCCTGGTACTATGCGCTATTTTCATTCATGACTTGGATACTGGAGTGGAGAATAGGCTTATAAAATTTGCCGATGACACCAAGCTGGGAAGGGCTACCAGCACTTTAGAGGACAGGATTTGAATACAAAATTGAATATGCATCAACCATGTGATGCAGCTGTGAAAAAGGCTAATATCATTCTGGGGTCTATTTACAGGAGTGTCATATGTCAGACATGAGAGGTAATTGTCGTGCTTTATGTGGCACTGGTGAGGCCTCAGCTGGAGAACTGTGTCCCATTCTGGGGATCACACTTTAGGAAAGACATGGACAACTGGAGAAACTCCAGAGGAGAAGAACAAACATGATAAAATATTTAGAAAATTGATCTATGAGGAAAGACTTTTTAAAAACTGGGCATGTTTAGTCTTGATGATTTCTCAAGGTCCCTTCCAGCCCTACATGTCTATGATTCTACGATTCTATGTTGGTGGAGTAATGGAGAAAGCTTGCATTGCTTCTACTACACAGGTTATTGCTGTGGCTATGGATAAATAGGGATCCTCTGTTTCCAGTGCAATTGATCTAACATAGTCCAAGGGAACTAGAATATAATAAATACAGTGTGTGGTCAAGGCACAGGCCTAGGAGTCAACTGACTGGGGTTCTAGTCCTGGATTTTCCGCTGACTAGCAGTGAGACCTAGAACAAGTCATCTGGGGCCCAGGCCTGCGAAATGCTGAGTAATCTCAACATCTACTGATGTCAATGGGAAATGAAGGCAGTCCAGTAAGAGGTGCTCAGTACTTCACGGCATTACATGCTTAACTACCCTTCTATATGGCAAATCTAACTGAAGTCCACCTAACTCACAAAGGGAGGGTTGAGAACCACACTCATTGCTTGGAAAGTGCTTTGAGATCCTCAGATGGAAGAGGAATAAGAAGGGGAAAGTATATCATATCATATTATATTTATTATATTATTCTTCCATCCAGTGTTCAGTTCTTCTAAATATATTTCACGGCATTGGCTCCCCCAGTGCCAGATTCAGCTAGAAGGTAGAGCCAGTGAAAAGTCTAGATCCTACAAAAACTTAAGCACATGCCTACACTGATTAGTTTCATTGAAGTCAAATCCTAATTAATTAATACTCATTTGAAGTCAATAGGACTACTCACATGGGCAAAGTTAGGCATGTGTTCAAATCTTTGGGAGACTAAAACTGGCATAACATAACGTTCATTCTTTATGTATATTAATGCATTCATTATATTTATTTATTAATGATGTAGCACCCAGCAGATCTAGCAATGGACCAGGACTCCATTTTGTGATTGGTACTGTACAAACACATAACCAAAAGACAGTCCCTGCCCCACAGAATTTATTTACAGACAGTGCCATTTACCATCAAGTGACTGTTTAGTAGAAGGTTAAAGGAAAAGGTTCCAGACCCAGACATAAATATAATCCCTCATTTAGAAACCTTAGGCACAACCTGCTCCAAAGAGCTTAAAATCAACTCCCCTCATTCCAGTGAGCCTGCAGAATACCCGATTTCCTAGTGTACTGTTTAAAAACTCTGAAAAGGATGAAAACAAATCTACAGGTAGTAATTTCCTCTCCAAAAATAATGAGATGACAGATTATGCTGGACCTTGAAAGACTCCTAGCCTGGGAACCTTACCAACGCATTTTAATGTTGGTATTTTACCAGTAAATACAACCTGAGGCTCCAATTTCACAACTGTCCCTAGAATTAATTTCCTTCCCCCCGCCCTAAACTGAGCGTTTATATTTGTGTATTAATTAATGGTATGCTGTTGTTAGCAACATTCGATTTCGAGCCCTTGGGGAATGGCTTTGTGACGTGCCCTGTCATATCTCAAAAGCCAATTGCCTACTGCATTGTCCTGACTCCTGACCTGGCGCAAAACCAAAACTGCCTCCTAAATGGTGTTGGGTTTGGGCTGCTGGGGCGACCTCGCCGAGCCCGAGCTGGTCTCTGCCTAAGGGGGGATGAAGCGAGTGAGAAATAACCAGGGGAAAGTGAAACTGGCACAGCCCTGGAAGGGGCCGATTCGGTTTTCATTTCGTTCACTCTGGAGGCTGCGTGGTTTAGCTAAAGAATTAAGCCAAGAGGCGATTAGGATGTTTCTCATCAACCCGATCCAGTTAACGTGATCACTAATACAATCGGTTTAACCCGATTCTGTCTGGGGGAGGCTAAAGTCCTGGCTACTTATTGTGCCTGGATACTAGGCGACGGTGCCGTGGGAGGGATACCGTAACATAGCTAATAATGGAGGGTTACCCAGAAATACAAAGAGCTTTTATGATCCACTTCTGTCTATTTCACCCGGTTTTAAAATTCATAAAACCGGCCTCGTAGGTTGGACCCCATTGTTCTTATTTATTTGAAAATCCTGTCTCCTCGGGGCAGGTGGAACCCGGCGGAGACTGTCCCAAACGTGTGCTCTGCACCGTGTTAAAAAGGGCAAACGACTCAAAAACCACCTTCGGAGCCGCCAGTGAGAAAGCGATGGGGTCGGGGCTCTGATGAGGCCCTGACCTCTGCTAGGAGAGGCGCTGCCCGTTCCCAAACTTGTATCAACTCTAAACTCCCCCGGCAGAGAGATTTTTTGCAATGATCCAAGGGGTTGGGATGGAGCCAGACGCCTGACAGTCAACTGAAGTCTTTTCCTTGACTTCCTTGGGCTTTGGATCAGCCCCATTAATCTATGGGCGGTTCAAAAAGGCAACTTCAGGTGTCCGGTCAGAATTGAAGCGTGTCAGATAAAGGCCTAACCCCGCCACACACACCTTTGTAAGGACTTTGGGCTGAGTGACTGCAGCGTGGCCTGGCTCTGGTTGAAACGGAGCAAAGGCAGGAAGATTCCAATGGAATGAGAAGCCACTTAAAACAAGCCTCTTTATGGACTTGGCGCAGGGCACTAAACCTATCCAACCTTTCTGTTAAAAACGAGGGGGGAAAGAAATTAACCAGATTAACAAGAAGATTTCCTTCAGCGGAGGGCTTTCCTTTCCCTCCCGGCTGGTGTGCTGAGCCTGGCTGGGAGGGAGGAAACTGGGGAGGGGGAAAAAACAATAATTAAAGAGAGCATGTATGTATCCAAAATCCTGGAGGCTGTTGGCAGAGGAATCTCGATGTCAAGGTGGAGGCTAAAGGCAGCGGTTAGCCAGCCCCAGATCAGAACTCCATAGGCAAGCAGTTTGAAATAACAGCCCGGGGGAAGGAAGGGTTCAGTTACCTTCTCTCAGGAACTGGCGTAAGGTGCCTGGATTTTCGTTGACCATTTCACAGCATGCGTCAATTTCAGAGGTGGCAGGGGATGGCAGCATTGGGGCTGCGCTTAGCATTAACCTGGGTCAGGGCTGAGCATCGCTGAAGCGACGTTAAACAGCACAGTTAAAAGGGGTAAGCCCCCGCCCCTGCAGGGGGAGGGTGCGCTAAGAATCGTCCCTAGATTTTGGTTTGTTTGTTCGGTTTTGTTCTTGAAAGCGGAGGAGAAGGAAAATCTTTAGCCTGGAAATGGGGAGAGCCTGTGCTGGGGGTGGGGGGCGGAGGACTAGGATCCAGGTCCGACCCAGAACTCCAGGAGCAAGTCCTGGAAGTGCTGGCAGAGTCTGCCCCTCTGCGACAGCTGGCAGCCGCGTTCGGTCCTCTCTGGGGATAAGGAGCAACTTCTGCAGTCCCGAAGCTCGGTGCATTGCCCGCTTCCAAGCTGCTGGCCAAGGGGATCTTTGGAAGAGGGACAAGAGCCAGCAGCCGCCTGGATGGAAGGGGCGAAAGGAGAAGAAGAGGGAAATAAATAAAAAATGAGAAAGAGGGGGGAAAATATTTGTAAAAATAACAAAACTTTGTACAGACAGATCCACGCCGTTCCCTGCCTTTGTGGCGAGGGGCTGCTCAGAACTCAGTGTAACATGCAAGGCGGGGGCCCAAGACCCGTCAGAAACGACAAAAACTGCTACATATAAGTACCTGGATGAATGGACAGACAGACCGATTTGTCTACAAACCTGTTAAGGTGTATTCCTTGTAAAGGGGCTTGGAAGCTCTCCCAGTTGCATTGTCAGGGAGTAACTTGAATTAATTACAAACTCTGTCCCGAGTTGTATTGTGAGCCCCTTAAACTAGAGACAGCGATTTACAGATCTTCGGAGATCTGGAGATTTTGATTTTTTTTTTAAGAGCTCCAAAATCTAAGAAAAAATCGTTCTCTTGGGGAAATAGGAAGGGAAATGGTTCCACAAAAGGGGTGGGGGGAACCCCTTCAGAGTTCTCACCTAAATGCATCCCCCTCCCCAGCCCCCGATCCTTTATTTCATCTGCATTTCTGGAAGTTTGAGAGGCTGGGGTAGAGCAGCTTCGCCCCCCCTGGACTGGAAGCTCGGGAAAGGAAAGAGTGCTCGGCCATGGAGATCATTTCTAGGTGTTTAATGAGCAGTGGGGTCCCATTCCCTCGTGGGGTTTTGTGGAAGGGTTTAGACGGGCAGAAAAAGCCAATCCAGCAAAATTCTTTAGCGTTGACAGTGATGAGAACCACACACGCACACCATTCTATCGATTGTTACATTTACTTCATGGTAGGGTAACACCTGCCTTTGTATGTTACTTCTTCCTACCTGATGAATCGGATAAGTATCTTATTAAAAGCCAGATAATCCTGATCCGGATCTGTTTCCTACTTTATTATTGTTTCCTTTTTCTGCGCTACCGCTCTCTATATATTGCCCATTGCTCGATTTACGAGTCTATTACTGATGTGGCGTCATTTCCAACTTCTCAGTCTTTAGTGCTATCTTGTTTTAAAAAAAAACCATCAAAAGCAAATAAACATTTCGCTAGACAGAGCCCGGCAACGGAGCAAGAAATTTTAAATTAAAAAAAAAATGAAAATCGGTGTAAAGGAAAAAGGGTTTGACAAATGTACAGATAAATCACTAAAACTTTATCCTTGCCATTTAAAGAGGAGGGGGAGGAATTCTTACTACTCCTGTCTGGTCTTCAGTATTTAGAGCACATTTAAATCATTCGTCCGTGGGTTTTTGTTTTTAAACATGCAGAAAAACTTTCTCAGCGTGAGGGGAACTAATGATTCAGCTAATTGTGGAAAAAGCAAAAGTTAAAAAAAAAAAAAACACAACCCCACACACATCAACCCAGACCTACCCCCTATCGGTAATAACCCCATTAAGAGCTTCATCAGCGGTGTAATGAAAGCAAACAGGGTGGAAATTGCCTGTAAACAGTTGGATCTGGGCTGTAATTAATTCAGTGTCTCTTTTAATCAAACTGAAAGGAGATCAGGTTCCTTAGTCAGTGTGTGACATCACCCCAAAAGCACCCCAGCCAATGAGAAGGGCGGATGCTCAGACACGTGGCCCTGGCACCTTAAAAAAAGAAGAAGACGACGAAGAAGAAACCCAAACTTAAGTGACACAAGTTGGTTTTTTTAAAGGGGAACGTGTCACCCGCGGAGCCGGCGGGTCGAGCCTGCCGCTGCCTCTGTCCACGGTGCTGAAACCGAGCCGCGCTCGCCCGCCCCGTCCGCCGCCAGGAGGGCGGCCCGCCCGCCCCGACGCCATGGGTGCCGCCGCTCCCAGCCGCCCGCCCAGGCGCTCTCGGAGGTGCTGAAAGCTCCATCCCGCCTCGTGTCGTGGGACCAGCCTGGCTATTGAGCGCCAAAGCAGGATCCGGCCGAGGTGCTGGCAGGGCACCCTTCCCCCCTCCTCCCCCACCCCCACACATTGATTTTTGAATCATTAACTAGTTACGGCGCCGAAAACCCCGTTGGGTCGATTTCCCCCTTCCCCTCCTCCTCCTCCTCCTCCTCCTCCTCCTCCCTGCGGGCGCCGGAGTTCAGCGCTGATAGATGTAGTGGGGAGGGGGGTGGGGGGTGGAGTTAGGATTAAATCGAGGGGGGGTTCCCCCCAAGCAAACTTTGACTTTTTAATCCTTTTTCTCTTCCTGTCTGTCTGTCTCTGTCTGTCTGTCTGTCTCTCCCCCTGGCCGCAGCTGGCTGGGATGCTGAAGCAGGAGAGCTGAGCCTTGGATCTAATGCACCGCGCCCCACGGGAATTGTTGGTCAACGGGCTCCCTGGACCCCACGCTGAACTCTGCCTTGCCCCAGCCCCACCCTCCCCCGCCAGGTCCGGACTGCCGGCCAATGTCCGCCTGAAAGGTGCCGGGTGCGAGCGATCGGCTGGGGCTGGGGGGCGAGCCTGGCCATGGAAGGCTCCAACGGATTTGGGATCGACTCCATCCTGTCCCACAGAGCGGGGAGCCCGGCCGCGCCCCAAGGAGACCCGCTGATGGGGGAGTGCAGGTCCCCCCTGGAACTAAGCCCCGGCTCCGAAGTCAGCAGCGGGTGCCCGTCTCCCCACTCGCCAGGGAAGGAATGCCTGGAGGCGGCGGCTCCCAGGCAAGGGGTGGCCGTGGGCTTGGAATCTCACCTCCAGCCGGGGCAGGGCTCGGCGCCTTCCCAGTCCAGAACAGTGACCTCGTCTTTCCTAATCAGGGACATCCTCGCCGATTGCAAGCCCCTGGCAGCCTGCGCGCCTTACTCTAGCACCAATGGACAGAGCGGCCCGGAGCCGGCGGGGCGAATCCCGGCCAAACCCGGGGAGGACTTTAGAGAGAAAATGGACAAAAGTAGCAGCAACGCCTCGTCGGACTCGGAGTACAAAGGTAAGAGCCGAGGGGAGGCGAGAGCCCGAGCTACTGACCAGCTGCCCCCAGCCAGCGATTGGATTGCTTTCAAAACATCCCTCCAGCCTTTCTTTTCACTCCTCGCTCTGCTGTGAAGGCATTTTAAAGAGCTTGACATTTCCTGCACTCCCCCTTCCCATCCAAGAAAGTGCTGGTCCTCTGTCTCTGGGAAGAGAATTGGGGATGGTGGGGTGATTTTGGTTCCCTGTTATTTCTTGGGGGTGGAGGTGAATCTTGATTTGCTATTGAGCCCGTAGGTTGTGTCTGGGAGGAAGCTGATTCTTTACACCTCCCGCCGACAGTCCAGCAATCAGGAATAAATAATGAAAACTTCACAAAGCTTGAGTTTAAAACAATCAGGCCGAACTTTAAATAGTGGGGTCAGGAGGGGGATGGGGGGATTTATAGCATCGGATTGAGGAATATAAAGATCACTTGGGGAGAAAAAATACAAATGAATACGCTCCTTCGATTAAACCCGCAGAATTTCCTTGCCCCTGTAAAGATCTGAATAATTATGAATCACAAGAGTGGTATGTGCCCCAGAACTCCATTAATATATTTTATTTTAGCAATTTCATTCTGTATTTTCGGGAGGTAATTGGCTAATCCATCACGCATAGAGAATTAACCTTTAGACTCTTGGAATTTTGCTTCCGAGCTATTTCCAGATTAGAAGAGCCCGAAAAGAAATGGTTGCCCAGCAAGTTAGATTTGTCCGTCGCTTTTAGACACGGGGGAAAGCTGTGCGAGTTTTTAAAAATAAGGCATTGTTTAAGTAACGTCAGGTGATCAGAATTAATTTCACTCCAGTCCGTTCGAGAAGGATCAGCTCTATTACCAAGCTGTACAAATGTGGGTAAGCTCCATCATGAAAGGAGGAAGAGGTTCTTCTCATCCTAGTTCGTGAAAAATCCTGGCAGGAGACTGGGATTTTAACTTCACGTTTTTGAGAGGGACATTCTATAACCCCGGTGGGTTGTTGGGTTTTTTCCCGGCTGTGTCTGATTGTGGTATATCCTTGCAAGTGTATTCGGTCTCTCGCACTTTCTTTTAAAACTTTTAACATGGAAACATTACAGATCGCTAGTTCTAACCTCTGCACAAAGTCCACAAGGGATACAATCATTTTAAAGGGGCCGTTTGAAGTCTGCGCCGCTCGGATGCAATAATGCATCAGGCAGAATTAAGGTTTCTGCTGCAAACATTCCTAATTTCTGCATATTGTATTTATGGGTGACTGAAAGAAAGATTGAGGAATGTGGTAAAATAGGCCTGAATTTCCTTGGAAGAAGAGAACTTTGATCTTCTCTGCTTGGCTGCTTATTTATTTGTATCTTTCTTAATAATGTTTTACCTACTGGCCTCACGATTTTAATTATAATTAATTCCCATCCTCTATTTTACAGCAGATAAAAAACCCCAACAGCAACAATTAAATATTAAATTCATTCATGAGGAAGTAAGGGAAACGTGCCTCTTTAAAAATATATTTTAGGTAGCAAACTATTTGCCAAGCAGATTTTGGAAACTTTCTGAATATGCCCGAATGAAGCTGCATTTTATATTCTCATTCCTCTCACAATAAGCAGAAGTGAAATGTATCTGGCTGGGGAGGAATAGAAATTGACTCCGGTCTTTTGAAGGAAGGTGATCAAATGGAAGTCAACATTACGAGCTTTTTTGTTTCTTTATTTTTAAATCCTGTCTCTCTTTTCAAAACTGCCAAGCTGGGAAAGAAACTAGGTAGTAAAAGAAATGCACGCTTGTATCTCCCCTCAAGCAAAAAATATAAACTATATATGTCGATCTGATCCTCAACAGGAAATTTTTCAAACCAGTTTTTACCATGAAAGATTTCTTGTCAAAGCCATGCACAGCCAGGCTGCCCGCAAGTGGGAGCTGACAAATTGCATTTCATAGTAATCGATTAAATAATATATAATAATGAATAATAATAATAATAAAATTAATAAAAGGCAACTAGCAGTAACCAGCCCTTCCCCAGTGCAAGGCGGAGTCCGCAGTCAAAGACAGCTTTCCCCTTCCCTATCAGGAGAAACTCGTAGCTTGTGTGTTTCCATTCGAATAAAATACAGCGGAACGGAAAACCATTTCATGCATCGAATGGTAACAAGCAACTAGTTGTTTAATTGTTTAAAAATATAAGGCCCAGACCCAAAGATAGGGCCCCTTCCTCCGTGTTGAAGCCACTCGTTCCCATTGATGTAAATAACCCTGAGCGCCCGATTGCTTTACGGGCAGAGTCTCCCGAGTTCAATGGGAGGGTTGTTTAAAACGTGCTGGCACACAAGGATTTCGGGATTGAGCCCAGATGAAAAATAAACGCTTCCCATGAGTTTCTATGCAGCCAAAACATGAACTTTTTTTAAGTGGGGGGGGGACCCTGATATGTACAAGAAAAACTCCCTTAATAATTGAGCGAGCTTTTCAAAGCAATAGCTTTTAAGGGAGGTGTTTTATTTTATTTTATTTCCACACCTCATCTAAATACTGGGCTAAACATATTTTGCAGCTGTGTTGACTAGTCGTAGAGCAAATCAGAGAAACTCTTTTGTGTTCAGTTGGACTGAAATCCAAAGGGAAGTTCAGTGGCTAAACAGGGATTCTGGGAATCCGGGAGAACAATCGATTCCAAACTCAGTCATTTCTCTCTCTCTCTTTCCCAATTAACTTTTTTGAGAAGTCCAAACTTTAATAATGTTTAAGTGTTTGGCTCAAATCATGTTTCTCAAATTCCAATGGCCGTCTAAGGAAATGCAGCTACATCTGCAATAACTTTAATGGCCAATCAAATAATCCCCAAAGTTTCTCCCCGATCGCTTCACCCTGAGACCTGAAATAAACATCGTGAAGATTCCGTTGAAAGGGTGTTTCCCAAACTATCCTCTTTGCAGAAGTCACAGGCTACTGGTTCCACCGGCCCGTATTTGATTTTATTTTATTTTTGGAGGGGGAGAAGATGGGGGTAGGTGGGTATTTGTTTCGCCATTAAATGAAACAGAATCTCATGTTTAAGAGCTATTCAGCGGGTTTGTCTCTATCTGGTCTGCTAGATTCTGGATTTCTGGTTGAAGGGTTTCGTTCCCTGGTGGCTCAATTAACCGGATTATTGTCTTCCTACAGAGAGAAATCAACTCGCATTCAACTACAGCCCTGTCACTTCTAAAACCTTTCACAATGAAATTTACCATAAACCCCTGTAAAAACCTAATGCAGCCAATTTATATAAACTGAAGCTTTTTGTTACATAATCTCTTTCAGGAGGGGGAAAAACAGAGCTTTTCTTGCTTAGATTTTCCAATCTCGTACAGATGTTTTCGGGTGTAAATCATTCTTTCTAGCCATCAGCGTCTCTGTAATATATTGATCTGCTTGTGTGTATATTATAGACACACAGAGACTTTCCTGCGTTAATGAACCATCAATAAAACCTCTCATTAGGCATTTTAAAAGTTAAATCATGGCAAAAGCCTGGCCTCACAGCACCACTTCTCAAATGTTTCCTTCTACCCGTTTAAGGGTTCCATTTGTCTTATGCCTGTGCGCCGTATGCCCTACTCAGAGATATACGCATTTCTTTACAGCATATTAACAATCATTTGTCAGTGAAAAGTGGCTCTTTTTAAGCATTACATGAATTAAAAAGTAGGCCATGCTAACAAGCCCCCCACTAACACCAAATCCGCAGCTCCACAACTTTATGGTCAGCAAATCCAGATCCTCCCCCCCTCCACACACACACTTGATTTTTCCTGTACAAACATCAACCGATCCATCATTGCAAAAGCATTGGTCGGGTTGACTGGGGTAAACCTAGAGGAGATGGGGAAACTCCGTTGTCAGGCATGACAGCGGAGGAGGAAATGTAAAGGGACTCAATCAAAGAGCTCGCAGAATTATATCTATTTTTTAAATGAGGATTTCTACTAAAAGACAAAATAAGGGTCAATCCTGGGTGTATCCTATACATACTCTGGATATATTAGCCTTTTCCCCAGGAATTCATTCGCTCTCTCTCTCTCTCTTTGAACTGCATCTCTGGTATTCAAACGAAACATGGACCATTGGCTACTATTCTCATATCCGGTCATGCCCAGCATTTGCTCTTATTTTTCCAACTTCTTCTGCATTACCCTCCTTCCGAGCGGCATGACATTTGAATCCCATCACCAACCTCACAGAGCCAAAAGGCATCCGTGATCAGAGAACACCAGGGCCTAGGAGAGAAGGCAAAAAACTCAGGGCAAACTCGCCCGCTTGCATTTGCAAAACAATAGCCGGGCAGGGTGTGTGCGTGTGATACTTATTTCTTTCTCTGCCTGAGCCTCTCTGTTCCTGCTGTTGCAAGGAAGCGACCCAGAGCCGCTTTGCATCACCTCTCTTTCTGCCCTGACACGATGTGCATTCTTTCTCCCCCTCTAGTGAAAGAAGAAGGGGACCGAGAAATCTCCAGCTCCAGGGACAGCCCCCCGGTGAGGCTGAAAAAGCCGCGCAAAGCCCGCACCGCCTTCACCGATCACCAGCTCGCCCAGCTGGAGCGGAGCTTTGAGAGGCAGAAATACCTGAGTGTGCAGGACAGGATGGAGCTGGCGGCCTCCCTCAACCTCACTGACACCCAAGTGAAAACGTGGTACCAGAACAGAAGGTAAAAACAGCACAGCGCAAATCTCCCTGATTCCCCCCCCCCCCGACCCAGGGGAGTTCCGGGGGCAGCCTCTGGGCCCACAGCATCTTCCGCAGAGATGCACTAAACAGGCTTTCCCCAAGACACCAACTAGGAAGTGGCTTTGAAGCGAGTCCCTGAAAGCCCCCAGGTTTCCCAGCGCGTCCGAAGGGCGGGGGTTTGAAGGGCGGGGGCCCAGGTAGCTGGGGTGCCAGGTCCCGGGCTGGAGCGTGCTGAGCGGGGACCATAGGCTGCGGCGCGGTTTTATCTGGCAAAGGTAAAAAGACTGGGTCTGAATGCAGGCTGCAAAGGCCAGGCCCGAGGGGATGGGCGGCTGAAAGCGGCCCGCTGCTTGCCGCGGAGTGGCAATGCTCAGCGGGGATTTGCGAACCGCAGCCGGACGCCTCCGCTTTGGCAGGTTTAACCATAGCCACCACAGGAAGACAGACAGCCCCTTATCTCTAAAACCAAACCCCCCCCCGAGCGGGAGCCCAGGAAATCCGCCCGTGTACCAACCAGCAGCCCGGCTGGGCGCCAAGGAAAGCGGGCGCGGGGGGGGGGGGGTGGCATGGACCAGGATCGGGCCCGACCCCGCCGCAGAAGGCGGCAGTTTGGCCACCCCAAGCTCGGACGCCGCTCCTAGAACGGGCTCTTCATAAAATCACAATGAAAAACGCAAGCCCTGGAAGACCTGCCTCCAAACCCCAGCAGAGTGGATACCTGGGTGGGGGTGCAATGGGTGACAATACCTGTGTCTGCGTGAAAGCAGAACCCGCCCCCCCCCGCCCCCATACAAAGGCTGGGGAACAAGGGATGAAGATGAGCCACCCAGCCGTGGGCACACGGGGCTGGAAAGGCAGAGAGCAGCCCCTGGCTCCTTCCACACCGGGCCTTGCCGCGGTCTAGCGAAGCAACATGTGTCTTCCTCGTCTCCTTTTAATAGTCACTGGCTTAAAAAACAAAACACCAGCAGCAATGGCCCCCCTCCGTGCTATCCGTGTGGGTCTCCTATTCCCAGCCCCCCCCCATCCAGGTAACAGGAAGCCCCCCCCCACCCCAACAACCGTTCAGGAAAAAGGAAGAAATGTCCTTTTCGATAAACACAACAGCATAACACATCGGCCCATTAATAATAAATCCCGGGCATCCATAATTAACGCCAGTTACAGTAATTACACAATTATGATGATGATGAATAATTTAAGGATGGAAATGGGCCTAGCGCGTCAGCGACAAAACTGTCAAAGGCTCGGCTGATCCCCGGCCGCCTGCCCCGACGTGCATCCCGGGGCTCTGACCCCTGCTCCGGCCATTGTCTGGAGAACGATTGTCATCGCAACAAAAGGAGCAGCAAACACGTCTGGGTTCCAGCACGACCCGCTGCCCAGTAAAGTTCACCCTGTTTCTGGGCGCGGGGGCGGCTCTGGTCTGACATTCGGAGGACGCAAAATAAAATCGCCCAGCTACGAGGCTGCTCCTTGGGGTAGTTTATTCTCTCTCTTTCCCACCCCCAGAGAGAAAGCGATGTGGGTATTTCTCAGGTCGGGTCTGATCAATGCTTTAATATTGCCATTTAGAAACCGATCACAACATTTCGCTTTTTTGCGGGGGGGAAGGAACGGGAACAAATCTGGTGAGAGTTTAGTTTCCCCGTTTAGGGTTATTTATTTGGTTTCAACTAAACTCCTAAGGCCGCGATAAAAAATTCCAGGTGCTATTTCTCTCCCCAGATTTCCAAAAGGCCTTGCACGAATTCAGTCTTCCTTCTAGCTTCATCTGAAACCTAACTTTTTAAACACCGGTTTAAATTTGGTTTAAGTGATTTTCTGGGGCTTGTGTGAACGTTTTAAGAACCCAGCGCACTGATTAGAAACCAACAAGAATCCAAATGTCTGAGAGGGCCGAACTCTTCAGGAGAGCGTGTGATTCTGTCTTAGCATGTGATCATCATATATGATCACATCAGACAGATAGAAAGATAATCACCTGCCTGAGCTGGCAAATTAGAGATGGATGTTTCCAATCACTGTAGATCAGCGTATGTGCAGTTACATGTTACCATGTGCTGTGATCACATATTATTATTAATTATTCTTACACACACAATATAGCGGAGAGTATGTCTGATGCCATTTGCCTGAGCTGAAAAAATATATTCAGGCAACTGGTATCAGACATACTATCTGTTACGTTATATACTTGTGAGTGACTAATAAATAATAATACCTCTCTCATGATCACAACACGCAATAAAATATACACATTTTGCCCGGGGGGCATAGCTGGCATTGCACTGCTAACATACTATGCTATACGTGGGTTTGTACAAATAGAGGGCAATTAATACTCTTGTCAATTTCCCTCCCCCCCCACACACACTTCACGTTAATATTCGCAAAGTTAACATCCAGAGAGTCCACCCGCGTTCCTGGCCGTCGGGGTAATAAATCGCTGCGGGAAGAGGATTTGGGTTTTGGAAACAATCGTCAGCTCAATAAAAAGAACAGGAGGACTTGCGGCACCTTAGGGACGAACACATTTATTTGAGCATCAGCTTTGGGGGGCTACAGCCCCCTTCATCGGCTGCATAGAATGGAACATGCAGATCAATGATTGTGTTGCCCTGCGGTTCAGCACAGGCGTGTGAGTGGGTGTGAAAGATTCCACAGCTTTCACCCGAGCTATATCAGGTGTGGGCGCTGCAAATCTCTCCCACCTGTGACTGCAGGAGGGGCTGCAGGGGTCTCTAGGGGCTTGGCTGCTCCTGAGAGAGCCGGGGCTGGAGCGTTGCAAACTCTGGAAGGGTGCTCAGGTTTCTTGCCCATGGAAGGCCGGCGGTTTGGCCACGTCCGCTCAGTCGGAGGAGTGGGGGTGCACCCCCGGGGCTGCTTTTCTGTAGCATGCTGGCTCTCTCCTGACCCGCGTATCTTGGCTTCCCTCCCCAGGACCAAGTGGAAGAGGCAGACAGCAGTGGGCCTGGAGCTACTGGCAGAAGCTGGGAATTATTCAGCCCTCCAGCGAATGTTCCCATCTCCCTATTTCTACCCGCAGAGCTTGGTCTCCAACCTGGACCCCGGAGCGGCCCTCTATCTGTACCGGGGTCCCAGCGCCCCTCCCCCGGCTTTGCAGAGACCTTTGGTACCCCGGATCCTCATTCACGGACTGCAGGGGGGTAGCGAGCCGCCCCCACCTTTGCCCCCCCTGGCAGGCGTCCTCCCGCGAGCGGCTCAACCGCGGTGAAGCGCCGAGTTCGCAGCAAAGCCCGCTGCCAAGGAAGCCAAGAGGCCCCCTCTGCTCCCTTGCGTAGACCGCCCTGACCATCAGAAACTGTACCCCGAGCCTGGGGGGGGAGAGAGGCGGGCCGGATCCTTGGCACTTCAACCCCCGCCTAGCCACCTCACAAAACCATCGTTCACCCTAACGGAGCAAGAGGAACCTGGAAAGGAAAAAAACACATCAAAGGAAAATCTCGCGCGCTCTTTCGATGCGGTTGGTGATCCGCGCTGCCTAACCTAGAAGGGGGTGAGCGATCGCCTTCCTAGCAATGGAGAAAGGGAACCTAACAAACAACAACTCAAACTTCCTGGAAAGCATCTGTTCAACTCTGGGGTGGGCGGGAGACACGGAGGAGCTAGGAGGAAACACACAAATAGACAAATCTTTTGTGATCGCCCAGACACAGACGATTCCGAAAGACCTTTCAATACTGAAAAATATCCTCCTTAAAAACATTGAGGGGATATAATTCCCCCCTCCCGCGCACACGCACAACACAGATTTTTCCGGCTTCACCCCCCCCCCGCCCTTCTCTTTTTGCCCATTGAGGCCTTTCTGCCCCTTCCCCCGCTTTCTAGCACTAAACTTTGCCACACACACAAAGGAGACTTGTTTCAGAGTAGCAGCCCTGTTAGGCTGTATCCCCAAAAAGAACAGGAGTACTAGTGGCACCTTAGAGACTAACCAATTTATTTGAGCATAAGCTTTCCTGAGCTACAGCTCACTTCGTGGGATGCATGCAGTGGAAAATACAGTGGGGAGATTTATATACACAGAGAACATGAAACAATGGGTGTTCATAAATTGGTTAGTCTCTCAAGTGCCACAAGTTCTCCTTTTCTTTTTAAAGGAGACTTGGGGACAGATAATACCCAAAGATCAAATAAGGAATCTCCACAAGTTGCAGAATTCAGAAGCGTTCCCCCTTCAGACGGAGTTAGTTTGAAGAGAGGAACCGAATTAATCTGCTAAATAAGCCTTTTTTTTTTCTTTTTTTTTTTAAAGAGCCGTATTACGTTTTAAAGGATCAATAACAAGACGAGGTTTAGGATTCTGGGTGTAGGAGACAGACCGTTAAACACATCTCAGGTTTTGTTTCCATTCAAAGAATTCACTGCGTTCCAATTATGTTCCGGCTTGAAGCTCTATTTCACCAGCAGGACCAGCTCTTGGCTAACTTCAGGCTGGAGTTTCCAGTTCCTTGCAGTTCCAAACACACTTCCTCGAAAGAAAAGAAAGAAAGACAGACTTCCCTCATGCTAAACACGCGCCCGACTTCAGTGGTTTTTGCCTGAGCAAGGGCTGGAGGATGAGGCAAAGGTAATTGCCAATAAACTAGCTCACCTGAGCATGGCTTCTCATTTTTGTTGGTTTGTTTGTTTGTTTTGTTCCCAAGTATTAGCCATTCTCCTTTCTGCCATCCCCAGGCCGCGCTTTGCGATAGGGCATCCGTTCCTGGCCTTTGTAAGTAACAATTCTACTTGTGCAGAAATGGGGGTAGGTAGGCGGATGGCCCGCGTGTGCTGACATGAAACATACAACATCTGGACCCTCGTTAGATCCATAATGAACAGCTCGGAGCTCGCCCCATGGCACCGACCCATTGGGTCGCAGTATTACCTAGAGTAAGAGGAGCCCTTTCATGCTAACCCGAGAGTATGTAACTAAGAAAAAAATTGTAAATACTTGTGTGCAAAATGTATATGAATTATTTATTTGTGAACCCCGAGGACGTATTTGTGTAAGTGATTCTTGTAAGTCTGTATTCCCGGGTTCTCCTGTCTGGACTTTGCAAGGAAAAGAAGCGAAGGAGAATTCGGCTTTAAAGAGATCAGAAAAGAAAAACAAAACAAAACTCTGGCTCGCTCTCTCTCTTTTTTTTTAAATGTGGAAATAAACTTCTTTACAAACAAGCAGATTCAGTCATTCGCAGCCTTTTTATGGTGTTTACTCTGGCTGATCAAAGAAGCCGAAGGGAAGGGGGTGGGGGAAGTTTCCACGATTCTCACCCACGGGCAAACGTATTTTGGCCACTCAAAGAGGGGGCCTGATTCTGCTGGGTTGTAACTCCACCCGCTCAAGAGAAGTCAATGCTGATTTACACACGTGTCTCAGAGAAAGGAGACTCGTCCCTGACTGCCAGGGAGTCACTCCTGATTTCTACCCCTGGGAGAGGGGAATCAGGCCCTCTGACTCCAGAGCCACTCCCGATTTAGACTCCAGCAGGATCAGCCCCAGAGGAAACCCAAGCAGCGCCACAGTGCTGGCATGTGGGGAGCAGAGCCGGCAGCCCCCGCGATCCCTGGCAGCCCCCTTGTCCCGGCCCCTCGCACCTTGCGGGGTGGTGGGTGGAGGAGCCCTGGCGCAGGGCTAGCCGCGGTCCTGGTGAATTATTAACGCTAATCTTAAGTGTGTAATTGCCTAAGTGCTTTAAATGATCGCTTTGGAAAATGGATTGTTTCCACCCTTTAAAAGTGTCGCTCATCTGGCTGCAGCCAGCTAGCCCAGCAGCTGGTCACCGGGACAGGCTGAGAGCGGCTACCCGTCCCGGGGACCCGACAGATGGGCTGCGAGGCTTAGCCCTGGGCCGCCCCCCCGGCCAACCTGTGGGCCAGGCTCCTTGCACAACTCCCGTCTGAGCGCACGCTGCCCTTCCCGTGCGGGGGGGGGGGGGACCCTAGACTGCAGCAGGTCCTAGCTCCCCGGCCATCCCCTCCCCCACCCCAGCTCTGCAAACTTCTCAGCACAGAGCCCAGGCCAAGTCTAGCGCCCATCACCTGTCACACACCCCCCCCACCACTAACCACCCCAATGACCCCCCCGGCTGCAGCGTGGTGGGCCCCACGCCTTCCCCCGGCCGCTAGCACCGCGCCCCGGGGGGCGCCGTGATGGGACCCTACCTCGGGCAGGGCGAACTGCTGCTGATCAAAAACAACTAGCCCCTGACCAGCCCCTGCAGCAGGAGTGATTACTACAGCGAGGGACGCTGGGAAAGGGGGGGGACCAGGCTGGGCCAGGGATCTCCATGTAAATGGCAACGATGGAGAGATCTCGGGGAGGATGGGGTGGTGGAAAAAGCCTTCGAAGAAATAACACCCAGAATCTCCCAGGCCTAAGGAACGCCAGATCCAGAGCTGACCCTGTTTCTATTTATTTTGTTTTGTATTCTTCCTGACAGTATGTCAGCATTGTTATAATTTTGCAAAATGCACAGCAACTAATTAAGTCAAGCAGCCCCCTTGCCTTTGTGGAGGGTGCTGTTTCTTTGCATCTGAATGGTGGGGTTTGGTAAATCCCCGGCTCTGGATGGGAGGGATTGTCCCCAGCTCAGGGTTAATGAAGTGGGAAAGGAGTCTCTCAGAGCAGCATGCAAACAAAACCCCCATGCAACAAACCCAGTCCAAAATCCTACATGGATTGACTTAAACCCAGGGGATAAGTGCTTTAAATTAATCTCATTGAATAAGAATGAGGCCAAACAACACTCTTTAAAATCATATTAAAAATCTATCAAAGGACAACTTGCACTGGGTGCGCTTTTCATTTTGTGAGAGTGAAGGCAGAGAAAATACAGCAACCTTTCTTACATTTACCCAGTAGGAATGTAAATCAAAGACATTCTCTAATATTTAATTGTCCTTGTACCTCTTAGCAGATTGCATCTCTTACATTAATGAAGTACAAGCTTCCCAACAAGTTTAGAATGGCAATATTTAAATTTGTTTTGCTAATTCACACCTGGAAGAAGCTGGAAACCTCCATGGTAAAGTGGATTTTAACCAGTCTATTAAAATATTAACTAGCACAGTGTTTGTGCTAAAATTACTGCAGTAGGAGAAACCAAAGCTACAGTCCAAAAGAAATATCAAGCTTAGGAAATAGGAACTGACCAAACTAGAGTCCTTCTGGTAAAGAAAGTGGAGAGGTGTTGAACATTAGAGCTGTTTCCTTAAGGGAGCTTTAATAGTCACAGTAAAAGAAACAGTTAATTTTTTAAAATCACAATTTAGTGAAAACACCACACTGAGTATATGCCCTTTATAATAATGAAGTATATTTCCCATGTAAATAGCACCTTCTGTAAGAGGATCCCAACGTGCTTTGAAACCATTAAAACATTTAACCTCACACTACCCTTCTGAGGTAGGGTATTATCGTCATTTTACAAATGGAGAAACTGAGGCATTGGGCGGGGGAAGAGATTGCCCAAAGAAATCATAGAGCAAGTTTGTGTCAGAGGTGGACATAGAATTCAGCTGCATCAAGTCTTAGTTCTGTGCTTTAGCCACAAGACTATCTTTCCCCAATATACTGAAAATTGGAATGCAATGGTCCTCAGGACAGGGCCTGCTTTATTACTAGCTGTTTGTACAACATCTTGCCAAGTGCAGCTGCAATCCTGGGCTCTACTCTAAAGCAAAGAATAAAATCCCTGGAGAATTCTTAGTGGAATTAAACCTGGTGCAATGGCTTTAAAACAAAACAAAAAAACTTTTGAAATCAAATGCTGGATGAGATGTATCAGTCATGTGAAAGAAACCAGCTACAAGACTACAACTGTTCTAGTCCAAGGATTATTTTTCCCCCAAGGGCCAAGATTTTCCTTGACAAACATTTCATTAATCTTTTGCTTTCTGTTCAGAGTTTGGGTTCTGAAACATCAACAAATTAGTACAATTGTCAGGCCCACTATAAATGCAATCTAGGTTTCCAAGCACAGAAAGGATCTTTTGTCCAACTTTGTGGTCCATCTTCATTCTTTGCTCTTTCGGTTTTAAGGGAGCTGGCTGCAGGAGGAATGGATGACAAGGGGGCTAACCCCAGCTCCCATTTAGAACATGGTAAATCTGAAGTAACTCCATGAAAGTCAGTAAGATTACTCTGCATCCCAACCAGTCTATGTGAGATCAGAGTCTGGCCTACTGTTTATACTGTATAAGCAGTGATTCACTTAAGGACATATACATGCCTGTGGATCGCTAGTCTGTTCCTTTCTCAATGCAGGGACTGTCAATGATCCTTTCTAACCGTTGACTTCAGGTGTAAACAGGTGCAACCATTGTGCCAAATGCTGGAACAAGGTCACAGCCTGAGTGGTCAGGCAGCAGAGTGGGGTTCTCTGCAGAGGCTGAAGGAATACCCCCCTTCCCTCCATTCCAGACCACAGATCAGCAGAATCATCACGCTGCAGTAGCTCTCCATCAAAGGTATTTACAAGGCACCTATTACCCTAGCATCTAAGCACTGAACAAATTATGCTGAAGCACGAGTCCTGAACAAATGGTGTTTCTCTCTCTGCTCCCCTGGGTTACAGAGGAATGAGAATTTGGATGGGCAGGGAAGTTTTGTTGTTTTGTTTTTGATTACAGGCATTGGCCCAGGGAAAAGGTTTTATAGCAAAGGTGTGTCTTCAACTTAGATCTGAACACGCTCAGCCTGATCTTCTGGAAAGGAAGCCCCAAGTGGAGCCCTACCACCAACAGCACCTCCCCCTGCCAGCATCTGAGAGGTGAAATCTGGGGCATTTCAAATATCTGCGCAGCGTAGCTGTCTTGGAGGGTCTCAGAGGCAGTCTCTGCTGGAACCAGGCCCCAGCCCAAAGGTACATTAGGAGCAGAATCTTGAATTCTCTTCTGAAGCGAATGGGGAGTCAGTGGAGATCAAAAGCACCCACGGGATGATGCACCAACTTCAGCTTTCTTGGGATGGTTCCACTTAGCCTCTGGGAGAGCATGAATTGCTAGTCTGCCCCAATTGTGCAGCACAATTGTACCAGTCCCACCCAGGCAGGGCCCTTTCTGACCTTGAAAAGAGAGTAGGATCTGGCCCCTTACTTGGCCCTACGCCAGACACAGACAAAGATATGGTCACTGCCCCATGGATCTTACATCTTTGGACTCATGTTTATTTAGATTGTAAGCGAGAAAGTGCAGGAGAGTTTTTTGGAATGAGAATTCCAGGCTCCATCCACACACCAGGAATAGAATTCCTTGATTGTAAGGGTATATATGAATGGAAATCTGAAGTGCAGCATATCAGAAGAGGTGGGATTAACTGAAAATTAAAAACAAAAGGCGTTATCACTTTTAAAACCAAACTCTGCTCTGAAATCAAACAAAAAGTCAATGGGACAATAAAGGCGCCCTTTAAAATTTAAAGATACAGACAAATATACAGTAGAATAATGCTGAGGTTTTCACACAACCAAGATAGAATCTCTATACCAAGAGCAACACTCAATATTTATATTGTATGATTTATATTAAATGTGGTTTAAATTTAGCTAAAGCTGCTACATCTTCCTTCCTGTATTATCTGGGCAGTAAAGTGATAAACTAGATCAGAATACAGATTCTGGGACAGACAATGCAATCAGTTCGGCTGCACAGGTGTAACTGAGAGCAGAATTTAGCTACAGATAAACCCACCCATAAATCCAGAGGTTTGCAGAAGGGACCTCAACATCATGATCAGATCTTGGACTTTTCTTTAACTATACATCTATTTCCTTTACCATTTTTCCTGATGATCTCCCCCACCTTCCTTCCCAGAATCACTCAGCATTAATCCGCAGCTCTCAACTAAAAGATGGTGCGGCTCACAGAGAAAAGTATACAGGTAAAAAAGCTTAATGGCTCACTGTTTCATCAAGCCCATTACATGCCCCAATAACACAGAGAGCGAAGAGATTTCCTAATGTCTGACTGACATGTGTTGTCTGGTCTTTAGTATTATAAATTCACCAATAGTCTCTATTAATTCTCATATGACAATCAGCTTGGAGAAGGTCATACTTTTCCCACCCTTCATGCACAGGATCAATTCTCCCCAAGCTTACACTTTCTGCATCACATGATGAGTCATTTTCAGCCTCAGGTTGTTTTTTAAACCTGATTTCCCATTCCCTTCCCCTCCCACAAATATCAGGAGGGTGGTTTCTTTATTTAATTTTAATCTAGTAAATGCTGATTGCCCTCCTACTCTCTGCCCTTCAGTTTTTCCACATCCTTCTTTCTCAAAAACTACTGCTGTCAAACCAGGAAGTCGCTGTTCAGTGATCGCCTGGGAGAAGGGAAGAATTGTTCTTGACAAAATACACACTTTTGGACTGATTGCTCCCCTTCTGCAACACGAGACCCAACTCACTGTTACTCCGCATCGTGTGTCATCACTTATCTCAGTGCCAAGTGGATACCATGCTGATTCGGGCAAATTTTAAGCCCACTTTGCACTGCTGTGAATTCAGTTTCATATACGTTCTTATCCCACCCTCCTTGCTGTTCTATCTGAGCCCCTTACGGTCGTGCATTAGGCGACATGACTAACATCTGTCATGTGTAGTTTGTTCTCTCTCTCTCATCCTCTCCCCAGGGGAGAATGGTGTGTGCAGTGGAGCGCACTGTTTTGGTAGGGTTTGTGTTTTGGTTGGGGTTTATTTTGTTTTTTAGCATGTGTGTTTGCTCTGTCCTTTTCTTAGAGAAGGCAGACTGACGCCATGAGCCTTGCACTCAGAGCGGAAGGTGGTGAAGTTTGTGAAGGTCCGTAGTTCCAGTAGGAAACTCATTCTGCAATCTCAGACCAGGCCTTGAGAAAGCACCATCTCCTGCACAGAATGACGACCCAACAGAATCCTGGCCCGACTGACGTCACGGGGAGTTTTGCTATTGCCTTCAAAGGGCCTAGGATTTCGTTCCAAGTGCAAGGCAATCATGAATGGGCCCAATCACAGCCTCTCTCAGATCACACCACAAAGAACTCCCAGGAGTCCCCTCCCTCCTGGGTTCAGATGAGGAATAAAATAAATAAAGGAAGGAAGAAATTCCAGCTGTTGGGTCTTTCCACTTCAAAGGCAAACAGGGGAACACAAGGAGACAAATCAATTAGCCTACAATATACTCCTGAAAAGGAGAAGAAAATAAATAAATAAGCTTGACCAATGCCAGGAACAGCTAAAGTCAATGTGCTTTTCAGAATAAGCAACAAAGCGCGCTACAAAATGATGGTATCATTAAGTGTTAGAAATGCTCCTCTCAGACTTTTCTGTGCTGAGAAGCAAGACATTACATGTGGCTAAATCCTGAAGGATTCAGGGACAAATCTTACCTATAAATTTTGCCCGAGACAGGAGTAGGGAATAGAGCATTTGGTCCTTTGTCTATTTACATACAATCTTGTTCCTAAGTGATTGGGAGTTTTGCCATTCACTTCAATGCCATTGAGATCTGGCCCAAATGCCACAGTTTGTTCAGGTCAGACTAAGGCTTGCATACTAGCTAACCTTAGAATAAGCAACTAAGGTAGTAATGCCCACTGCACTACTTCAGCTTTCTCAATTAAAAAAAATTAAACAATTGGTTCCTATAGACCTTTTAAACATCATAATCGCCCCAATGAACTCCGCTCCTATCTTAACCCATTTGATGGTCACTTTATATTTTGGTGGTTGCACATTTCCCCCTACACTTCATGTGACTGCTCCAAATTTTCTTTACAAAAACAATGGTCATGGCTTAACACTGCAAAACTTAGAAACTTTGTGCATCTTCATGAAGCTGCGTTTATTTGCAATGGAGCAATCTTGACTGAGAACAGGACATGTTTGATTTCAGCCCCATTCAGGTCTTCTGGAGGCTCAGCTCTCTGAGGGTTTAGCCTTTTAAAAATTCTGTTAAATTCTGGTGCACCTCAGTTTGCGTTGCATGTCCCTTTGCCTTCTGCCCCATGCATTCTCCAGAACTAGTTTCTGCAGCAAAGGGCTGGAAACTCCCAGTTCAGGTCAGCATTTTCTGGTTGCCAGGTTTTCCATGTTTTTTCTTTCTCTTGACCTTGGATACACCAGAGTCCATCCCACTAGAGTATTCAGATCGCAAGATTTCAGCCAGGCGGCCTTTGCCTTGGGTTTTCCTGCGAAGGTCAGGCCTGAAAAGAAGAGAGCAAAGAGAAGGGGTTTACATTTCTTTCCTTTTGAAATCCAGTTTGGTGGGTTACTTATTCTACAGCTGTGCAAGTGACATTTGCGCATTAGCAGCTTCCTCTCCTTGATGCCTGTTTTTAAATTCTATCTCATGCAGAATTAGATATTGTTGTGACAGGTTTTTCATAAAAGTGGCAAAATATCATGCCATTTTTAAAAGGGAGCCTTTGTTCTGAACAAATGCTCTGGCGGGGTGTGTGTGTGTGTGTGTGTGCTGACGGCTGATGAAGTGTGTGACACAGCAGTTTTCAAATAAAAAAACCCCCAGCCTTAAGACACTGAGCAATGAAAACATTTTATAACAGAACTAAACCCTGTGCTAAAAAAACAAATACCCCAACCCAAGACAATTATTTCTGCCAGTAGCCTGCAAACAACACATACAACTTGTCGACTTTTGTGGCAGATACGGCAATTGCCTGCAATAGCCTGGAAAAACCTTCTTGAACTAAGTTTAAGTATCTTTGGAGTCCACTGTATGAGATACAAAGATTCTGTATTATTGTGGGCCTGGCTGACCAAAGGACCATACTGAACAATGCAGCAGACAAGAATGGTCTTTTGGGGTAATACGTATGAAGTGGGTTTCCTGAGAAATATCTAGGGGGACGTGAATACAAATTCCTGGCCTCCTCCCCAGCTATGCAAAACCCCAGCCTTTTGAAGCTATGCCCTGAGGAAGGGACCATATGGATTATCTATTCCTGGAATAGGAAGATCAAGTTGTATAAGGGAAAAGTATGCATGAGTCTGCTTGTTCTGAGCTATCGCTGTTATGAACTTGTAAACACAAGGGTTTGAAGGATTGACTCCTATCAGAGCACCCGCAGGAGTTGGCAGGCAGGGTGATCTCGAGTAAGTTTATTAGCATGTGACTAGGCTCTTTTATTCTTTTAGTACTTTTTCTCTTTGATTCTTCCACCTTAAGAATACATGTGCTTGCTGTGTGGTAACTTATACATGAGGGCAATTATGGCCTCTGAAGAGAGAGCCACCGACGCTGGCCTGTTTAGGCACTCTGGCTTGCGGGCAAATAACACAGTGTAGGTACGGAATTGTGCAGCCTGGAAAAACCCCAGTCAGGAAGAAGAGAGATGCAGGTCTCCCCCAAGAGAGGTGATGGCTGATGAGCCAGACCTCTGAGGGGGAAGACAGGTACAGTTGCCTGGAATTGTGACAGCTTCCGCACCGGAGTCTGTTGCAAAGACAACTGTATTCTGACTGGCTGCTACATTCCAAAATGGATCTTCTAGTGGTTCTATAGGAGAGGTGGGCAAACTACAGCCTGCGGGACCATCCTGCCCGGCCCCTGAGCTCCTGGTCCAGGAGGCTAGCCCCCGGCCCCTTCCCCCACAGCCACGCCAATGCGCAGGCAGCGGGGCTGCGAACTCCTGCCACTCTGAGAGGCATGGTGAGGGGACGGCACACGCGCGGCAGTGAAAACAGTTGGGTAGGTAGGGGATCCTGGGGGGCAGGCAGGGAGCAGTGGGTGGTTAGGGGCAGGGGTCTCTGGGGGGCAGGCAGAGGACAGGGGGCGGTTGGATGGGGTGGAGGTTCTGGAGTGGTCACGGGTTGGGGAACGGGGGGGGTTGGATAGGGGGTGGGATGGGGGGGCAGTTTGGGGTGGGGGGTGCCAGGAGGGGGCAGTCAGGGACAAGGAGTAAGGGGGGTTGGATGGGTCGGGGGTTCTCAGGGGGACAGTCAGGGGGTGGGAAGTGGGAGGGGGCGAATAGGGGGAGGGGGCCAGGCTGTTTGGCGGGCACAGCCTTCCCTACCCAGCCCTCGGGCCAAAAAGTTTGCCCACCCCTGTTCTATAGGCTCTGCCACAAGGTCCTGGTCTGTGACTTTGGGCAAGTCACGTCCCCTCTTGGGGTTTCTGTTTACCCTCCCAGCCTTTAGGCTGTCTTGTCTGTTTAGAGTGTAAGTTCTTCAGTGCAGGAGCCATCACTCACTATGGATCTGCACAGTGCTCAGCACAGTGGAGCCCCAACTGTGGTAGGTGCCTGTAGGTGCTATAGTGATATAAGTAATAAATGGCAATAATGGATCTCAGAGCCCATTGCAAAGCAGGTAAGAATGTATCTGCTCCTCTACATGAGGTGATGGTAGACAACAAACGCCCTGAGCATGCTCTAGCAGTGATATTCATTCATATACACGGGTATGCACTAGACTAGAGCGTTAGAAACCACAGGCGTTTGGTCTTGCATTTTGTGTTATATTGTCTACCAAGTGCCAGGTCATTTAGCAGAGGGGGAAACTGAGGCACAGAGGTGAAATGACCCACCCAAAGTCACATAATGAGTTGGGGAACAGCCAGGAATAGAACCTAGGAGTCTTGACACACAGTCACCTACTTTTATTTAGGTAGTAATTTTAGTCACCACTTACTTATTTAAGTGAGTTTCTCAACATATGATGAAGTTTCAGACGGACACTTTCATTGCGTCTTCAAGCACTTACGACAGTAATTTGAGGGTTACTGGCCGACAAATAAGTTTACTTAACAACACAGAACTATTTGCTGCTGAGGACAAGTAATCTATCAGTAGCTGCCAGGCTGAATTTCAGCTCAGCAGGGAGGTTGTACACCACTTTATTATCAATCAGGTGAAATCACTGCCCAATTAGTAAATCAATACCCCCTGCTACAGTGATCAGCTGTAGAGGGAGAGGCAGGGAATGGGGATGCAGGAGAGGAAAGGCTGCTTCCTGTAACCAGTGCCACAAATCGATGGAGCTGTGCTGTGGAACCTACACTAATCATGGCTGACTTAGCTCTCGTCCCCAAACGCCCCCACTCTACTTGTGCTACATTGATGACATCTTCATCATCTGGACCCATGGAAAAGAAGCCCTTGAGGAATTCCACCACGATTTCAACAATTTCCATCCCACCATCAACCTCAGCCTAGACCAATCCACACAAGCGGTCCATTTCCTGGACACTAATGTACTAATAAGCGATGGTCACATAAACACCACCCTATACGGAGCGCTATACTTCCCTACATTCCTCCAGCTTCCATCCAGGACACACCACACGATGATCCATTGTCTACAGCCAAGCTCTAAGATACAACCGCATTTGCTCTAATCCCTCAGACAGAGACAAACACCTACAAGATCTCTATCAAGCTACAATACCCACCTGCTGAAGTGAAAAAACTATTGACAGAGCCAGAAGAGTACCCAGAAGTTACCTACATATTGAATCTATTTCCCCATGTTAAGTATCCTCACACCTTCTTGTCAACTGTTGAAATGGGCCATCTTGATGATCACTACAGAAGTTTGTTTTTCTCCTGCTGATAATAGCTCATCTTAATTAATTAGCTTCTTACTCCACCTTTTCATGTTCTCTTTATGTATGTATATATCTATCTTCTTACTATATGTTCCATTCTATGCAGCCGATGAAGGGGGCTATAGCCCATGAAAGCTTAAGCTCTAATAAATTGGTTAGTCTCTAAGGTGCCACAAGTCCTCCTGTTCTTCTTGCGGATACAGACTAACACGGCTGCTCCTCTGAAACCTAAGACAAATATAGCGTTGCTGTTGGTGTCGGGACCCTATTGAAACAAGAGGTGAAAGAGTCCTAGGCAGTAGTAATAATCTATAGCAATAGTAAATTTGGAAGGTCAGGATCACCGGGCCAGATTCTGATCTCAGTTACACCAGAGTAAAATCCGGAAACTCCACTGACTTCTGAGTTACTGTAGATCTCTAGGGTCTCGTCTACAGATGACCACAGTGAGGAAGGATGGCTTTGTGGTTATGACACTGGGCTGTGGGCTCAGTGTCATAACCACAAAGATCTCAGATCTGAATTCAGTCCTTGACTCTGTCACACACTTGCTGTGCAACGCTGGGCAAGTCACTTAATTTCACTGTGCCTCAGCTCCCCCAGCTGCAAAACAGGGATGATAACATGCCCCCTGCCACTCCACACCCTGTTGTACAGCCACATTCATGAAGGTTTGTGGGGCCCCCAGATACTATGGTAAGGGGCTCTGCAGAAAGGCTTACAAATGCATAACACAGCTGTAGGACAGATAGAACCTAACCATGTCCCCATAACTAGGGGACTGTCCAAGGTTTCTTTCTGTGATCCAGCACCTAGACATGACAGGCTCTTGAGCCCTAACCAGGACTCATGATGGGCAGAGAAATCCACAGCCTGTTAAATTCTTCCTTCCAGAAGAGCCATTCCAAAAGCAGCCCTCCACGTCTGAGGTAGAGTTCTGCAAACCCAGGTAACTTAGGGGCACTGGTAGGAAAAAGGTTTCTCAACACACAGTCCCAGCCCGACTCTGAAATGCCAAGATTTTAGCACAGTTCAGAGGAGGAGCAAACATTTAAATGGATACAAAAAGCCCATCCTCTCTTTCATTAGATGGAGTAAAATATGAAAGGGTCAGAAAAAGTCAAAGTTCAGGGCACAAGATAGACACTAAATGTCAGGGGTTAGGAAGAAACTTCCCCTATAAGCAAGTCATTCCATTAACTTTTCCACTGCATGCATCCAATGAAGTGAGCTGTAGCTCACGAAAGCTTATGCTCAAATAAATTTGTTAGTCTCTAAGGTGCCACAAGTCCTCCTTTTCTTCTTGCAGATACAGACTAACACAGCTGCTACTCTGAAACATTCCATTAACTGTTCATTATGGGGTTCCTTGTACTGTATTCTGAAGCATTTGGACCTGGCTGCCACCAGAGGCAGGATGCCGTTCATGATGGACTATGGGCCTGGTCCAGTCCGGCAATTCCTATGTTCCTACCGATGAAGTGAGCTGTAGCTCACGAAAGCTCATGCTCAAATAAATTGGTTAGTCTCTAAGGTGCCACAAGTACTCCTTTTCTTTTTGTGAATACAGACTAACACGGCTGTTACTCTGAAATATGTTCCTACTGTATCGGATCTTTGCAGCGTCTGGACTCCGGC